AGCAACAAGTAATCCGAATGGCCGACTGAGCTGATCTGGGCCTTGGCTCAGTTGCTGTCAGGTGTTAGATTCCAGACCAGTTGGATAAGAAGAGCGAGGTGAGCCCTGATTAATTCACTCAGTTGCTCTCTGCCCTTTCCCAGCAGCAACCAAATCTGAATGGTTTCTTCCCCTGACTATGGGCGGATGGGGACCCAACACAGTGTGAAAGGGGACCTCAGTGGGAGTTCTCAAGGCATAAGGCTTCCTATAAGCTGCTCCTTCCCCCAGTGTGGCTGAGCTGTCCCCTGCCAGATCAGCTGTAAGGGCAGATACACAAACAGCTATATTGTGATTCTCCACCCTGTTTTGCCCCTGAGCGCTAGCCACTTCCTATGCCAAGTCAGTGGGCAAAGATCCAACATTTGTCCTTAGGAGCCTTTCCAGCCCAGGGCCTGGATTCATGGATTCTGCCTTAATCCATGCCTGTCTTTTAGTTTTGCCCTTGGTAAAGCATACTTTAGCAAAATGATTATTTTCATTGCAGCTGGCACACAGTTTTCCAAACACTGGGTACTGTTTGGGTTTATGCTTCAAACCACACTACTTACAGTCAACTGTCATGCTGCTTTGTGTAATTGTCTTTTGTTATGGTTTTATTTCCTTGGGCTGATACGCCTTTGTCATTATTTCCACAGCGGCACTTCCACCAACTGTTGCCGCAATGCCCGTCCTGGCACTGAAGGATTTCATATACATACTGACTGTAACTAGGATCTGACACACAGGAGAGCTGGCAAGGAGCAGAACCATTATTTCTTGGCCCCAGTCACGTGACATAGGTCAGATTCCAAAGGTTTCTTCTCCTACTGTTAGTTATTGTCAGGGGCAGGGTGGGTGCTTGTTACTTCTGTCTGCACTGGAGAGCAGTCTTCAAGAAAGAGAGCCAGGGTTCTGCATAGATATCTTCAGTTTCTCCTGCAGGACTAGTCCTTTAGTGGTTCTAACATACAACCTTAGGGCAGATAGTATAGCTATTGCTTTGGCAGGTTGCCAGCCACTTTTTTTTAAAATGTAACTTTCTGTCGCCCTTGCAATGGGGAGAACTGTTTGGCACTTTGTCCTAGCATTTCTTGTGTTCTAGTTTCCTGACTTCTGAATTGCAGGCATTAGCTGTTATTAGCTCATCTAGGATTTTGAAAGCAATTGTGTGTGTGACGCCTTTATGGGATCCAATCCTGAAGATATACATTAAAAACAACAACATTTAATTGGCATCACTGTAGTCAAAATCTCTTGCAGACAATTACATTCCATGCATGGTTTTAGATGCCGAATTAAAGATGAACAATAGATACTGGTACAAAAACATAGCCCAGTCATGCTCCCCTTGAAGTCCATGGAAGTTTTGTCATTGCCTTCAATGAGTGCAAAGTTGGTTACGACTGGTGGGAAATGTGCCCCTTTCTGGTATAGTGCCCAAGTCTCCCAGAAGGAAACACTGGGCGGGCTTTCTGATTTTATGGAACTTTTCAGAGTACTGGAAAAAGCTGTTTGAACATCCACCTCATAGAGTCTCGTAGACTTTAAGGTCAGAAGGGACCATTATGATCATCTAGTCTGCCCTCCTACACATTGCAGGACACAGAATTTCACCCACCCACTCCTATACCTGTAGTGTTCTTCTGCTAATTAGTGTAATCTTTAACTAGCTGTCATTTATGCTGGCTGCCCAGCCATTTCCCTGCTTTGTCATTTACATCATAATATTTACAGAATTAGGCATTGTGTATTTTCCTTGCAAGGTCATAAAGGGCAGTTCTGGTCTGAAGTATTTATATTAAATTCAATTATTTTTCTGTAACTTTCCCGAAACATTTTATGGTTTTTATTGGCTCCTCTTTTTGTTTTATATGTCTGGGGGAGCTGGAAGGGAAGGTGAAAGGTCAGATAGTTTCTAAGTGTCTGTCCCAAGTCATATGTGGATGGGAAGATTTTCTACTTTCTTTTCTGAAAAGGATTCATATGCTACTGAGGTGCAACAAGGTGGGGGGTGTCAAAGGGGCATAGGTATGGGGACCGGGAGACACCCCTCCTGCACCCCTTTCTGGAGACCCTGGTGCCAGTAGCCCATGAGGGTAGCTGGTCCTGGGCCAAGTGGCCCCTTTTCCTCCCTGGCTGCAGAGCATCCTCCAAGCTGGCAGGTGCCAGTGTCAGGCCTGGGCAGGGGATGCTTGGCAGGGGGTCAGTGTGGTGGGAGCTGGAATGTCGCAGCCAGGATCAGGCAGAGGAGTGGGGAGGCTGGAGCCATGAGGAGAGTGAGCCAGAGCTAGATAAATATTTCTCTCACGTGTGTGCACGTGCGCACACACACACAGAGCTGGAACTAGATCCCTAATCTTTATCTCCAAAACCACAAGCTTCTTTCACTTGAGCATAAAGAGGACTCTCGTAACTGCCCGTAGTGGTGGACTTTTTATCCCCTCTGTGGAGCAGCCTCTAGGCCAGTGTTTCCCAAACTTGGGATGCTGCTTGTTCAGGGAAAGCCCCTGGCACGCTGGGCCGGTTTGTTTACCTGCCGCGTCCGCAGGTTCGGCCAATCACGGCTCCCACTGGCCTCAGTTCGCTGCTGCAGGCCAATGGGGGCTGCGGGAAGTGGCGCAGGCCAAGGGACGTACCGGCCGCTGTTTCCCGCAGCCCCCATTGGCCAGGCACAGTGAACTGCGGCCAGGGGGAGCCGCGATCGGCCGAACCTGCGGACACGGCAGGTAAACAAACTGGCCCGGCCCACCAGGGGCTTTCCCTGCACAAGCAGCATCCCAAGTTTGGGAAACACTGCTCTAGGCCATGACACTGGTTCCATGCACTGTTCACAAACAGATCAAATTTACCAGTGACATAAGCAAGCACAGCTCCACTAAGTCAGTGAAATACCTGCTTGTGTTAGCAACAAATATGTTGCTAAATCTCCATCATTCCCTTTACACTCATCCTGAACAACCATAGCTCCCAGGGAATTTGGATAGGAAGGAAATATTGTGAATCCTTATAACAATGACGTGACTAGATAGTGGTCTAAATATCCAACTTATATAAATACATCAAATAGCTATAAGTAATCCAGTGACACAACAGTACATGCATCAAACAAAAAATAGACAAACGTAAAGCAAACCATATAAAAGCACTGAAGCCAACACTTCTCATACAGTATGTAATCAACAGCTACATCAAGTATGTGAGTATCGGGGGATGAACACTGTAGCACTTGGTTAAGAATACAATTTACTTTATTTTTGATAGCACCTTTTATACCTGTTGCAAACCTAAACGCTTTCTTGGTCTTAGACAATTTTTAGATTTTTAAGGCCAGAAGGGACTATTATGATGATTTAGTCTGACCTATAAGTACAGAGCTAAATCATTCAAAAAATATGAGGAGAGAGAAAGTAAGTAGTACAAGCAAGGGAGAAAATATATGTCTTCAGAGCATAGCCAGAGTCAGTCTCTGTCCCAAAGAGATTACAATCTAAATCAGAGAGTCCATGAGGTGAGCTACAGGAAGGTTCTAGAATTGATATCTCCTGTGAAGGGACAGGGAGGAGACCAATGCTAGATGAGAAAAGGGAGCAGGGAGGGGATTAGCAAAAGAAAAGAGCCCTGAGCCTGTGTAAATCAAGTGCATGAAGGCTTTTAAAAATGAAGACCATTTTGAACTGGATCTTTATCTGAGAGAAAAGCCAGTGGAGTTTGGGGAGAATAGGGCCAAGGGATGATTTAGTTGTAGTTCTTTGTACCTGTGAAAAGGCAGGACATGGGGCACATTCAGGAGTCTGGATATCTAAGATTTGTGAGGGGACTTTGGGGCACCGATGAGGATTTCCTCAAAGGGCAGTTGATGCAGCAGTGAACACAAGCAGCATTTCATAAGAGAAGTAAAGCAGATTTGCAGAGACACTCCAAGAGATGTGGGAGGAGGTGAGCCGGTCTGGGTCAAGGTAGGAGATAAAGACGGCAGAGTTGAGTTTTAGGACACTTCTTGTGGTGTAGGGAGCTTTAAGAACCATGGTGACACTCTGTACAATCTGGAACAAAAAGTCCTATCACTTAGAAATCAGTTGGTTGGAGACTGACTACATGAATGGAGAAGACTGGACGCAAATTATAAAAAACACTCCTCATACCGTGCTGACTCAATTCAGATTGTTTTTATTTCTTGTTTGTTTTGTTAAATTAAAGTTCTTTAGTTAACTGAAGACATGATTAGTCTACCATGTGGTCAGGAGACTTAACACTCGTCTTCTCTGAGAGAAGCTCTTCAGTCTTTGAGACATGTAAAGGTAGGCAGTTGAGAAAAATCCACAAGTTTATTTGGTAGGAACAGGGAGGTCAGAGAGGAGTTTGATAATGATTGTGTTATTCAAATCAATGAGAAATGTAACTGCACAAAAAAGTAACAGAATGCAGCAAAACAGATAACCCTCTGTCTAGTTAGAATTTCACTCATGTCTGGAAAATTAGTACCAGGTTTCATGCTTATCTGCACCTATCTGTGAACATGTCATGAAACTGAACTTAGCACAGAGGCCATTACTCTTCTGCACTTTAAAGAACATTATTGGTTTCATTACTTTATCACTTTTTCTGCAGTCTATTAAATCTTTGTATTAAGGTGAAGAACTAGCAGCTTTATTATTTAGTGTGGTTTGATAGGCTAGAACCAATTAAAACTCCCAAAATGTCCCCTGATTCTTGTCCAAAACTTGGGATGGATTCTGTGGGTGTTGTGAACTTTGCTCCATCTCAGTCCGGCACCCAGGAGGGCTTATTCTGAGCACATTACAGCCACATGTGCAATTTAAACATGCCCATATATTTGATCCCTATAAATATGCAATTGCTACAGTAGCACAAAAGGAAAGCAGGCCCCAAACTGCCCCAGAACAGAAAAGCTATTATGGAAGATTCCCAATTAGCTTCAGATGCTGGAGCAAATCTGACTACGTCTTCATTTTATCTAGCAACTGTTGGGTCTACCACATCCTCTGCTGCTCTCTCTGCCTTGGAATCCTGGGAGGCTCCAGGACAAGTGCAGTGGTTACTGAACCTCAAGAGGAGGAAACTACATAGAAACAGAAAATTGGGTAAGCAAAACCGCCAAATACAGCATATGTTAACAAACTGGGTCTCTGAAGCGTGGTTCCTCACAAAAACAAATATGTGAGGAGAACAGGTTCCTATTTTGCCCATATTCTCTTTGGGTTTGATCCAAAGTCCATTGAAGTCCATTGAAAAGCCCCCCTCCGCCCTCCCAATGATTCAGGGGGCTTTGTATAAGACCCTTACAATACCGTGAGAGATGTGAAATGCTGTATTTTACTAGTTGAGGGCTTGTCTACACAGGATGTTACTGGGCAGCAAGCCAGGCGATGACTCTACAGTGCACTAGCTTGCCACACAGTAAGGTCCCATGTGCACACTGCTCCAGTGTACTAAAAGTTCTGTAGTGCACTTTGATGTACTCCCATTACAAATATACTAGCAATAGTTGGCAATAAGAAAACACTCCCTAAAATTACAGCTGCCTCCTCCTGTAATATAACATAGACATGCATGGGTAACATCGCCAACGCACCACTTGAGCATTACTAAAACCGAAATACCCATTAAATAAACCCATCTAAGGTAAAAGCATGAGAGAATGGATTGACTTTGCACTGCGCCCTGGAGGTTAACAAGCTCAGATCTGTTGGACCAAAGGGGGAAGCAATTTTCAGAGATGAGGACCCTCCTCCACTGGGAACACTTGGCCCCCAAAGCCTTCATCCAGCACACACTGAAGTCAATAGTAAAGTTTGCATTGACTTTCAGTGAGTAGAATCAGGCATCAAATCCCAGCCTCTGGAGGTTCAAAACCTATTAACATTTGCACAGAGCCAGCTGGAAAGGCTGTTTAGCCCTTAATTTTTAACAAGTGGCTCAGCAAAGTGAAGCTGGAATGTACATTTGCAAGGAAAGCCACAGATGAGACGAGAATGCTAACATGCTTCACTTGAACACAGCTGGTGTTCTTAGACTTCACTGAATCCATAGTAATCTTATCCTCATGAACGGAGGTGATGCTTATCCAAACAAATTCCTCTTTGTCACTTCCTACAAACCCTTCTTCCTCATCTTGTTTACGTTTTTGTATATGTAGTTAAGTTTTGATTTACTTGTTTATGGCTATATTATTAAAGGTGGTCAACTTTCTTTTTTAACGAAAAATGGCTTTTTGACCAAACAAAAATTTGCGTTTTGGTCAAATGTTTCTGTTTTTTGGAAGAAAACCTGATATTTTTCAGTAAAAATTTTGTTTTCTTTATCAAAAAAGTGAAAAATTTTCACAGGATACTCCCCTTTCCTCAAAAATTCTTTAAAGAAAGAAGAGAGATTTCTTGATCTGTTCTCTATATTATACAGTTGTCTCAATACATGCTTTGCCCACTCTATCACAATACAAGCAATGTCAATTTAAAAAAACAAAACTATGAGATCTTTAGAAAATAAATAAGAGATGCACAGGACAACTCAGATGGGAGAGACAAGCAAAGACAAATCAAGAAAATTACAGAGAAACTACCATGTGGTAAGACAATTTCAGGTAGGCCATGATATACACTTGACTTTATTCCACTTAACAAATGGAGCGAGGACAATTTTACTCTAGCTGAGGATCTGCCCCCTAATTCCTCTTCTACCCCCTTTTGGTTCAAATTGCTTCTTTAGTCAGAAAGGGATTTTTTTTTTTAAAGACAAGGTCTTGTCTACCCTGGAAGACTTTTTAGCAACTGGAACTAGAACAAGTAGAACTAGCGAAGTTATGATATTGTAAGAGATTGAAAGTTGAGTAACTGAGAAAGGTAAGTAACTGAGTAACTAACTGAGAGATTTTTTTTGTCAGTTTATTTAACTCCAATGCACAAGAAATATATGGGAAAAAGGATGTCTTTGTTAAAAGAGAGGACACTGCCATCTCTTCAATTAAGAGCAAGACCTCATGATACACATCTGAGACCTACCTGTCCCCCAGCAAAGCTAAAAAGGATAGATCTGACATTCCTGACTTTTCTTAAGATATTAAATAAGCAGGGGAAAACAAACTAAATATCCACCATAGAGGCCTTCTTCATACATCATAAAAATGCAAAAGGGGGTACAAATCCAACTTTTTAACAATCCTTTGCAGGTCACCTTTAATATGGAAGATGAAGGGTGCATACTGGGATCTGTAGCCTCCGTGGACTGTTATAATTAATTATATTGTCTACTTAGTGCCCAGAACAATCTCCAGCACTATAGCGTTTTTTTTATTAATGATATGTCCTGCAGCAGTAGGAGTTGAAGCCATAGGAGGCGATGGCTCTAAGTAATGGTAGCAACCCCTTAAATTTAAGGAAACTGCTTACGTTACTTTGAAATGTACAGATGTGTTAGTGTGAATTAACAAACACTCAAACGTTTTCCCTGCATAATTTTAATCACACAATGAAATTGGTCATTGATACTCTTGTCAAACACTTGTTTTATTGGAAACTTCAATCTATCAGTTGCAGCTCAAAAGCCAACTCTTCACTCAATTCCACAAACAGAGTCAGAGCTCAACAGAATTCTGTTATTGCCTTAAAGGTACAGTTACCCGACACATGTCCCTTATCTAAACAGCGGTCAGGATCTAAAACAAGAAGCTGTTGCCTATGTGTGTGTCCGAGTCTCATCCTGAGGCTGACTGACCACAACAGAAAAAATTTTAAAAGTTTTCCATTGCTGTGAAGGACGGTTTCTTAGCCCTGGTCTACAATACAAAGTTTTGTCGGTATAACTACATTGCTGAGGGGTGTGGAAAATCCATGCAAAAACCTTAGTTCTATACCGACCTAATGGTCTAGACAGCACCATGTCAATGGAAGGGCTTCTCCCATAGACATAGCTACTGCCTCTCAGGAACGTGGAGTACCTATGCTGATAGGAGAAGCTCTTCTGCTGGTGTAGGTAGTGTCTTCACTAAGTACCGCTGCAGCACTGTAAGTGTGGACAAGCCCTTAGTTTCTATTATAGCATCTGCAAAGTCATAGCTTAACTGTTCTGGGTGGTGAACAACCTGGTTGATCCCTTTTTATTTGCACTCAGTGGATAAGCTGAGTATTTCTCACTTGTGAGGCATTTTAGACTGTGCTGCAGATAAGCTTACTCACAGATAAAGACAGAGCTGTCTGCCTCCAGCATAGTGGAGCTGTGTCTGGAGGGCATAAATGCAAAGTTTGCTCTGCTTGAGTTTCAGCTGATGTCACCAGGGCCGGCCCACAACATTTTGGCACCTGAGGCAGGGAGCTCAAATAACCCCCCCATACCCCCTCGCTTGGGCCAAAACTTTGAAAGGTCTCAATTCTGCCTTCTTCCTGTTCTACTCCTCTCATGGTACTGCTCTGCTACCTACCCCAATAAAGGAGAACTAACCACTTAAATTGCCTTGTTCAAAAATTTTAAGTAACACTTAACTTTCAAACGCCTGAACCGCAAATGTACCTTTTCTTGTCTGCATAGTAAACACTGGCATTTTTATCAGTTTGAATAATCAAAATGGTCCTTTCCGTGCCTTCTTGGTTGCAAAGATTTGAACTGCTTCCTGAAGGTCCACAGTCTGGGCCAGCTCATGCTCTATTGAGATGATTGCAAGGTTGACCAGCCTCTCCTGTGTCATTGTGGAGCGTAGATGTGTTTTTATTAACTTCAGCTTGGAGAAGCTGTGTTCTCCACTGGCAACTGTTACAGGAAGTGTTGAAGTATGCGCAGAGCAACAAAAGCATTTGGAAAGAGGGTGGTCATCTTATTTGTGCACATATATTCCAGAACAGCCTTTGGAGTTGATCCTGCTGAAATGTATCTTAAAAGGGCTTTCAGTTCATCACCTAAATCATTTGCATCAATATCACGCAGGTCATCATGTGTCAACCCTGTCTCTAGTGCCCTGCATTGCTGGTGTAGGTCTTCAGGTATAGTGAGGAGTTTTGGAATATCATACAACATCCCAAATATACTGCTGTGTTCCTTGAACTGCATAAAACGTTCTTCAACTGATTGTATTGAACAATCTAAGCACCTGGTTAAAGAATTCAACTTTGAATTGTTGTTTGGGGTCTCTTATGGGATTATCCCGTGCCTTGTAATCAAAATGTCTTCTTCTTCGGTGACTCTTGTATTCTTGAAGGGTGCAAAAATAGCTTCAGTGTGAAGTTTCTCTGCCGACTTCTGTGCACTCTTCAGAACGTTTTGAAATCCCTCATCTGACTGGTAAGACTGTAGGTATGACTTCGCGTTGTCCAGTTGTTCCATTGCTCCAGATATATCAAGGTCAAAACCTCGGATTCTCTTGCTTACAACATTTATTTCAAACAGTATGTCATGCCACAACACTACGCCACACAGAAATTTGAAGTTATGTATGCTTCTGGTGATTCCATTTCCCTCTGCACTGTTGTCCCACAAACAGTTCTTGTCCTAGCATTATCCGCCATCGATGAGTTGATGCAGAGAAAAATACATAGATGCTTTGAATTACATTAAAAAATTCAGCAGCCTCACTAGAAACTGATGCTGCATCACTGACCACCAAGTTCAATGAATGAGAACTGCATGGAACAAAAAAAGCTCAAGGGTTTAACTTTCGGATCCGTGTCTGCACTCCTCTGTTCTTTCCTCTCATGTTAGCATAATTATCGTAGCCCTGACCTCTCATGTCAGCTATTGCAATTCCCGTATCTTCCAGCTTTTTAAGAAGCACATTTGTCATACCAGGTCCTGTAATATCATCAATGTCAATAAATTCTAGAAAATGCTCTCCGACAGTCACCATTGCAGGGACATTTTCACTAGGTTCTGCTGTTGTTACAAAACGCACCATTAAAGTCATTTGTTCCGTATGGCTGATGTCAGGTGTGCAGTCCAGAATAACAGAGTAATATCTTGCTGACTTCAGATCTGCCACAATCTTCTGTTTGACATTTGTTGCCAGTAACTGTATGATCTCGTTTTGAATTGTTTTTCCAAAGTAGTGGTATGTGTACATTTCTTGGGTGGTAACTCTTCTTAGATGCTCCTAGAGTAC